GAGGGAAGCACTTGAATTGGAAAAAAGTATCCCGGCCAAAGCAACCTAACAGCAACCTAACAGATGTGTAGGAGCATATCTGGAAGCATTCCCCTTAAGATTCAGATGAGAATCCAGTTGTAGAATTCTGCTGTTCTCGCAGTCGTAGTCGCATTCGCGATGACAGTCGCAGTGGCAACGGCAGTCGCAGTCACAGCCTCAGCCTCAGCCTGCCTCAGCCTCAGCCTGCCTGCCTCAGCCTCAGCCTGCCTCAGCCTCAGCCTCAGCCTGCTTCAGCCTCAGCATCAGTCTGCCTTCAGCCTCGGCCTCAGCCTCAGCCTGCCTCAGCCTCAGCCTGCATCAGCCTCAGCCTCAGCCTCAGCCTGCCTCAGCATCAGCCTGCCTCAGCCTCAGCCTCAGCCTGCCTCAGCCTCAGCCTCAGCCTGCTTCAGCCTCAGCCTCAGTCTGCCTTCAGCCTCGGCCTCAGCCTCAGCCTGCCTCAGCCTCAGCCTGCATCAGCCTCAGCCTCAGCCTCAGCCTGCCTCAGCATCAGCCTGCCTCAGCCTCAGCCTCAGCCTGCCTCAGCCTGCCTCAGCCTCAGCCTGCTTCAGCCTCAGCCTCAGTCTGCCTTCAGCCTCGGCCTCAGCCTCAGCCTGCCTCAGCCTCAGCCTGCATCAGCCTCAGCCTCAGCCTCAGCCTGCCTCAGCATCAGCCTGCCTCAGCCTCAGCCTCAGCCTGCCTCAGCCTCAGCCTCAGCCTGCTTCAGCCTCAGCCTCAGTCTGCCTTCAGCCTCGGCCTCAGCCTCAGCCTGCCTCAGCCTCAGCCTGCATCAGCCTCAGCCTCAGCCTCAGCCTGCCTCAGCATCAGCCTGCCTCAGCCTCAGCCTCAGCCTGCCTCAGCCTCAGCCTCAGCCTGCTTCAGCCTCAGCCTCAGTCTGCCTTCAGCCTCGGCCTCAGCCTCAGCCTGCCTCAGCCTCAGCCTGCATCAGCCTCAGCCTCAGCCTCAGCCTGCCTCAGCATCAGCCTGCCTCAGCCTCAGCCTCAGCCTGCCTCAGCCTCAGCCTCAGCCTGCTTCAGCCTCAGCCTCAGTCTGCCTTCAGCCTCGGCCTCAGCCTCAGCCTGCCTCAGCCTCAGCCTGCCAGCCTCAGCCTCAGCCTCAGCCTGCCTCAGCATCAGCCTGCCTCAGCCTCAGCCTCAGCCTGCCTCAGCCTCAGCCTCAGCCTGCTTCAGCCTCAGCCTCAGTCTGCCTTCAGCCTCGGCCTCAGCCTCAGCCTGCCTCAGCCTCAGCCTGCATCAGCCTCAGCCTCAGCCTCAGCCTGCCTCAGCATCAGCCTGCCTCAGCCTCAGCCTCAGCCTGCCTCAGCCTCAGCCTCAGCCTCAGCCTTGCAGCCTCAGCCTCAGTCTGCCTTCAGCCTCGGCCTCAGCCTCAGCCTGCCTCAGCCTCAGCCTGCATCAGCCTCAGCCTCAGCCTCAGCCTGCCTCAGCATCAGCCTGCCTCAGCCTCAGCCTCAGCCTGCCTCAGCCTCAGCCTCAGCCTGCTTCAGCCTCAGCCTCAGTCTGCCTTCAGCCTCGGCCTCAGCCTCAGCCTGCCTCAGCCTCAGCCTGCATCAGCCTCAGCCTCAGCCTCAGCCTGCCTCAGCATCAGCCTGCCTCAGCCTCAGCCTCAGCCTGCCTCAGCCTCAGCCTCAGCCTGCCTCAGCCTCAGCCTCAGGCCTGCCTCAGCCTCGGCCTCAGCCTCAGCCTGCCTCAGCCTCAGCCTGCCTCAGCCTCAGCATCAGCCTGCCTCAGCATTCAAAATGTGGCCCGGGAATGGAGTTCTGGGAACTCGAAGAACACGAAGTGGCCTACAGTTGGCTCCGGGCATTCAAAATCATGCCCAGGAATGGAGTTCTGGGAACTCGAAGACCACGAAGTGGCCTACGGTTGGCTCCGGGCATTCAAGATCATGCCCAAGAATGGAGTTCTGGGAACTCGAAGAACACGAAGTGGCCTACAGTTGGCTCCGGGTATTCAAAATCATGCCCAGAAATGGAGCTCTGGGAACTCGAAGACCACGAAGTGCGTTACCGGGGGCTGAAAAAGAAGTCCCCGGATTCCAGTCAGTGGAGCCGCGCCGCACGGCGCATCGGCTAAACAGCACGGAATTGAATTCAGCAGTTCTGATACATAAACTCTCAGAAGCCGTATGGCATGGCATGGATGGCATGGCGGTCTGCGCGCCAACTCTGGCAAGGGGAGCGTTCCCCTAGAGGGCAGACCGTGCGTTGAGCAAGACGGAGAATTAATGAATCAGCGCGCACACGCGAGGAAATGCGGTTAATAAATCCTCTGGTGTGCAAGTCTTCAGTCAAAGAGACCCTGCCGGCTAAAAAGGGCAGGAGGAGGAGGAGGAGGAGGAAAAGGAGGAGGAGGAGGAGGAGGGGAGGGGGGACGGCAGCCAGCAGCAGGCCGTGGGCACATCTAATCTCAGAAAACGTGCGTCTGGGCAATGCTTCTCCACCGAGCTCTACTGTAGACAGGGCCGAGCTCAGCCTGCACAGATGTGCCAGAGGCCGAACATGCTTGCGATGCGTGCTCGTGCATTACCCGTACCCATGTCAATCTGGGACGGCCTCTTGCACGTCTTCCGTGCAAGACGGGCGGGTGCAGGCTTCTGGGCGCGAAGACTGCATCACGAGTTGCTGAGTCCGGCATGCCACCAAGCTTCCCAAACAAATCAAGCTGCTTCATGAGAATGTGGCTGCTCAAGCGGTGCTGCCTTGCTTGCTGCCGGATTCCGTCCGGCATCTAATCCCTCCCGTGCTCCATCATTATCCTTCCCCGTTGTCCATTCCTTCCATCCGTCCTTTCTTTTTCCGGTTTTAAGGGCTGCGCCAAATACACGTGTTAGGAAAGGAAGATGCTACCCCCAAGGGGGTACGATCGAATATGAAGAGGGCGGGTACCGAGGGTTTGGGATATAGTTGAATGGCACGCAAGCAGGTAAGAACCAACAGCCTTAAAATGAGCGTTGTTGTGAAATTGTCGTTTGCAAAATATAATATTTGCTGATTCCCCCGGTGCGCATTGTGCTTGTTCGAATTAAGATGCTCCTACCAGGGCTCGCACCCTGTTTTTCCACAGTGAGGCTTACCTGAGGGGGTCCTACATAGTTGAAGGTTGGTGCCTCGGGGGGGTACTGTGCCCATTGCTCAGAAATTCCCCCGGTTCCTGGGTTCCCCGTCCCTTGGGTTCCCCGGGCTCCCCGCCCCTGGCGCCTCGTATTCTTGCGTTGCCCGCTCCCCGGGTCCCTGGGTTCCCCGCCCCCGGTGCCTCATGCCCAGCAATGCCAAACAATGGCAAGCAACGCCAAGCAATGCCAAACAATACTAAGCCCCAAGTTCCCCGGGCTCCCCGCCCCCAGCGCCTCATGCCAAGCAACGCCAAGCAACGCCAAGCAATGCCAAGCAACGCCACGCAACGCCAAGCAATGTCAAGCAACGCCAAGCAATGGCGTGCAATGCCAAGCAATGTCAAGCAATGCCAAGCACTGCACCCATGCAATAGGAAGTGTTCCATTAATTGGGGTCGCGCTGGGCTCATGTTTTAAAACCCAAGAGAAAATATTGGGGTTCAGACCGTGCTGTTGGCCCGCAGATTACAACAACAGCGGCTCCCGCCTGATACTTCCTCAAAGTGCATTCGAAAATCGCGCTCTCGCGCAGGACTTCCTCACTATGTATCTGGCCGCCTGGGCCGCCTTCCCGACACGCCCCTTAGGGTCTACCCGCCGTTTGGTTCTGCCACGGGTTTTCTGCTCCTTAGACCCCCTCCTGCTAATCTCTCCCGTGCTCCATCCTTCTCCCTCCCCCATTGTCCCTTCATTCCATCCGTCCTCTCTTCGCTTGTTTAGGAGCTGCGCAAAATACACGTGCCAGGTAAGGAAGATATACTCCCAAGAGGGCACGATCGAAGACGAAGAGGGCGGGCAGCGAGGATTTTGGATATACGTGTTGAATGGCACGCGAGCAGGTAAGAGTGGACAGTCTTAAAATGAGTGCTGTGGTTGTCCTCGCCCGCGACCCCCCTGCGACCCACCCGCGACCCAACCCGCGACCCGTCCGCGACCCACCTGCGACCCCCCCCCGCGCCCACCCCATCTACTCCGACCCCATCTGGGAGGCCTAACTCGTTCTTCTCCGACTACAAGAGCGCACCAGGGCACACTCACACTTTTCGACGTCGCGGCCACGCGCGAAGCAGCGCGGCGGAGTGGGGCCGGCGGGAGCGGCCATCGCGGCGCGGCGGGAGCGTCCAGGCTCTCGGAGGCCCAATGGGGACGTATGGGGCTCAGCCACAGGAACCACGCTGCGCGAAATTCACTGGAGGGGGGGAGGAGCCGAGAGAGCGGGACGAAGACAGAGGCATCGGCGATGCGTCGGCGCCGTATCGAACCGCATCGCCGATGCAGAGGCGATACGGCGCACCCCAACTGGGAAGCCTAAACACAGGGGTGAAGAAAGGGACGGAATGCGGGGGTGAACGAGTGGTGCTCGAGTGCACTCCCGGGGTCAGAGCCGAGGAGGCGGACGAGTGGGGAGCGCCCAGAGGCGGAGAACGCCTCAGCACGGCGCTCCAGCGCATCACCGGGGCAGTGGCAGGGTCGGCAAGGGAAGCGCCGCAGCGAGGTGGGCGCGTGCGGGGCCCGCGAGCAACCCGCAAGCGAGGCCTGGGCGAGACGACGCCGGGGGGCAGCTGCAGGCAGCGAGGCCCACGGGCGGCCCTCTCGGCAAGGATGACGCTCCAGGGGGCCAGCGACGGCGGCGGCCAGCAGGCCGCGGGGAGCCGGAGGAGAAGCGTCAGATGATTGCTCTGGAGACCTTCCCGGAACCACTCGCTCCACTTTGCGCCGATGCTGCGTCGAACGTCCGGCGGCCTGAGTCGAATTTGCGTCGAACTTGGGTCGAAGTGGAGTCGAACCAATCAGGCCTGCATCGAACAGATCCGTCAGGTGGGCCTCGGGGAGGTCCCCACAATGAGCATCTAAGACGTACCAGCGTGGGGTGGCAGGGAAGGGGACATGGAGGGGAAGCGGCAAGGGTCCGCGCTGAGGGATTGGTTGTTGTTTTCTCGCGCACGCGCGCGGTCCTGCACACATGCAGAACCGGTAGCAATTCTTCGGAGCCGACTGCGGCGAGGGAGGAGGGGCGAGCGGGGCGCGGAGAGGCGAGCGGAGAGACTGGAGGGCGGGCGCCATGAAGGCAGAAGCACTGGCGAGCCAGCAAGCGGCCTCCCCACCATCTTTGTGCGGGGAGGCGAGCTAAAAGCGAACACAAACACGTGCGGCAGGCAATTCTCTGCACGATTCGTTGTCGGAAAGGCGCCAGCCCCCGCTAGCAAGGGCCACTCGGCGCTAGAACGAAACGCGTGGACAACAGCAGTGGCTGGAGGCTTGGAAATTCTCACCGAAACCAGCACACGGGGTTGCCCCCACCAGGCGTGGTCATATTTCGGCCACCTAAGAGGCCCGAATGCTACCAACCATCCCAGAGAGCAGGATCCTCTTCCCTCAGGCACACCGCGGATGCTGGTGACGGTGCCAACCTCTGGGCCTCCGCAATCTGTTCGCGAGAGCGGCAGGTGCGGGGGGCGCGGGCAAGCCCCCTGTGCCTGGCCCCCGCGCGCCTCCGCGGGCCCTCCGCGGGGCCTCCCCGCGCCGCCGACCGCCCGCTCGCCGGGCGCGCAGCTGCCGATCGCTGCTCGGCGGCCGCCCCGGCCGGGCTCAGTTCCCGAACGCCTTGGTGGTGGCGTCCCAGCACGCCCACCAGTCCTCGGAAGAGGAGGGAAAGCGGCATGGACAAAAACGGTCGGCGCTCCGCGCGGATTTCGCAGATCGGCGCTGGAGCCCCCCCACCCCACCGTGGCGCGCCGTGGCGCGCGGAGCGCGCCAGGGGCGGGCGCCAGGTTGGCCGCTGGGGTCGGGCTCCAGCGCCGATCCGAGAAATCCACGCGAGGCGCCGAAGCATGTTGACGCGCGTGCCGCGTTTTCTTCTTCGAGTCCTGTGGCTTCATCAGCGGGTGGTAGGCGGCAAAATTCTCCTGGTCGCAAGTGGGCTTCCACTTCTTGTTCTTCTTCTGGTCGCTCGGGCGATCGGCCTCGCAGGTGCCGTCCAGCTTGGTGCCGAAGGCCTCCCCGCGGCGGACCCCGCTCTTGTCAAGGCAGGCCTGGGCAAAGAGGTCCTCGCCCATCGGGCCGTACTTGCCCCCCTCGATGCCCACCTTCCAGTCCACGGTCTCCTTGCAAGAGCCCATCGACGCAAGGAGCGTCTCGAAGGCGACCTTCGAGAAGATCTCCAGGCTGCCGAACCATCCGTACTTGACGAAGCGGCAGTTCTCGAGGTAGGTGCCGGTGGCTGGGACCAGTTTGTCAGACAACCAAGACGTCAGGCGGCTTGGCACGAACACCGCATCGCAGTCGACCTTCACCACCCAATTTGCGCTCTTGTACGCCCCCGCCTCCTGGATGGCCTTCCAGGCCTGGTAGTGCAGGCCCGTGTTCACCCAGGTGCCTGTCTCTTCTCTCTTCGCGAACTTGAAGTCGCCGTCGACGTCATCAACTTTCACGAGCGGGGCGCCGGGTCCGACCTCGCCATCCTTGTCGCTGAAGACACCCCAGGACTCGCACGCGAAGATACCAACCCCCTTACCATACGCCCCCTGAAGCAGCTCCAAGTCGTAATATTTTTTCGTGGTGCCAAGGTCCTGTTGCACTACCGAGAAGCAATACAGAGTCGGGTCATACCGTGAGCCGTCCTGCAGGATCGGGTCCATAATCGCTGACGGCTGCGTGCAGAGCTGAGAGGCGCTGGGCGTGCAATTCTTCAGGCATTCGCCCTTCCCCGCCTTGGTCTCGAAACAGGTCAGGCCCGCCACGTCGCAGCACCCAGTGCTGTAGCAGTCCTCGTCCCAGGAAGAGCACTGGTCGCGCGGGGGCTTCGCCAGCGTCTGCTGCTTGCCCTGGATCGGCTGCACGCAAGAGTGACCCTGGGCAAGAGTGACCGTTGGTGCGCGGCCTCAGGGGCCACGGCGGAGCCAAGCCCAAGCTCGCAAGCCATTACTTCGGGGCACTGGGGGGGGCCCGCACCAAAGGTCACCCTGGCGAAGGGCCACTCTCACGTGTAGCCGACCTGGAAGCGGCCAGCACCGGACACCGCACCTCGCAGCGCCAGGCGCGCCGCGCCGGCGGAGGCGCCTCCCAGAAGCAGGACGCCCAGGGCCACGCCGCCAGCCGCCCTGCAGGGCGAGCGCGCGGCCCGCCCAGGCGCCGAGACCCCTGCGCCGTGGAGCAGTGTCTCCGACTCGCTCACCTCGCCGCCTGCATCTGCGAGCTCTGCGCGCTCCTGCACGGCCCTAGCGGAGATCACGGGCATCACGCGCGCGCGGGCCGAGGTGTCGGGCGCCGCGCCGGTGGTCGCGAGCGGAACGGCCTGAGCCCAAGTGTTTCGAGCCAAACTTGAGCACAAGGTATGGAAATACACACACACACACACACAAACACACAAACACGCAAACACACACACACACACACACACACACGCACGCACTCACCCACTCACTCACTCACTCACTCACTCTCTCTCTCGCACACACACACACACGCACGCACGCTCGCACGCACGCACGCACGCACACACACTGACACACACTGACACACACACACACACGTTTTCGGGCGATCGCGGCCTCGCGCGCAGCGACGAGGCGGACAAAGTGCAGACAGCAGAACGCGCGCGGCGGCGTGGCCCTCAGCATCGCTTAAGATGCAACCTACCGGCATCGGCCATCCGGGCGTGGATGGCAGGGAGGGAAAACACAAGACCGTGGAAGGACTCGCTTTAACTTGAACTTTGGGGAGGTCGTTAGGGAGTCTGCGAGCACCCCGATCTCTGTGGGCCACTGTGCGTCTATACGTAGGTGTTCTGTGGTCGGAGCGCGTGAGGGGCCTCTGCGGCCACCCCTCGTTTTTCGCTTGAAAGAGGGGCTGTGGCCAGAGCGGACGACACTGCCATCGTGGCCTATGTGCCACCTGCTCGCTTTTGGAGGCCTGTCCACAGTGGCGCTACGAAGGAAGGAAGGGAAGGACTCGCCACGGCCGCGTGAGGAAGAGAAAACGCCATAAGCTGCCAGGGCATGAACAGCGAGGGGAAAAACGCACACCACTGAGGCTGCCCCACGGCATGCGTGCAGTGACAGCGACACGCGGCCTGGCACGGGCAGGAGAGGGCAAAGACGGCGGCAAACAGCCGAGAACAAAAGAAAGACGCCAGCGAGAGCCCCCTGCAGGCGGGGCGAAGGAGAGGAGGCCTGACCGGCGAAGGAGGCGGAAGCAGAGACAGACAGGAAGGACGCCGACCGGGGCGAGGGCCCAGCGCTGCAGAGTGACAAGGCCGTGCCTAGTGCCGAGCCTGCCGCCCCCGCCCCCTCCGGGGGCGAGAGGCGGCTTCCGGGGGGAGGCGGCCCCAGCGTCCAGCACGGGGGACACCTTGCGGGAGGGAGCGGGCGAGGGAGCGAGGGCGAGGATCTCACCGGGCAAGCTGTCGAGGAATTCGCCGAGAGCGACAACGGAGAAATCGGCGGGTGTGGCGTCTTCACAGCTCGCCTTCCAACTCGCCCTCGAGCAAGGAGGCGACCTGCGCAGCCAGGCGACGCTGAACTGGGCAGGGCACCGAGGGGCTGGCAAGCGAGCTGGGCTGTGGCGCGAAGCGCGCCTTGGGGGCGGCGGAGGCATGTTGACAAGGTCGACCCTACCGCTGGGCTGGCAGCGGGGGGTCGGGGGCAGGTGGCGGCGGCGTGGAAGAGGCTCCAGGAGAGCCGGCGCGCGGGGCTGAGGTCCAGAGCGGGATCGTCGCCGCAGAGCTGCCCCAGAAGCGGCGGTGGGAGTGGTGGTGGAGCGGGGGTGCTGGGCAGGCGTCGCTCGGGCCCCGCAGGACGGAGGCCACTGGAGGGGGAGCGCCGCATAGCGTAGACAGAAGCGGGCCCCCCACTCCTGCGCCATTGGGGGCGCTGTCTTCAGGAGACCAGAGGCCTGGAGGGCATGGCGTATGTCGCCTGAGACGGCGCTGGGGGCGAAGTTGGTTTCTGGCGCCTTGCTCTGAGCGCGGGGGCAAAAGTTACTGGCGGCGAGGTCAAGGAAGCCTGAGTGAGGAAAGACGTGATGGGAAATGAGGCGATTCTGGTGCTACAGGTTGAATAACGGGTTTTTGCTTTTCGGCCATGCTTGGATAATAGATCTTCTGGTATTCTATGGTCCGTTGCGCTACGGTCCATTCGCCGGCTGATCGAGCGCCTGGGTTCTGTCTACTAGCCGTGAGCGGGCTCGGAACCAGCGCCAGGTGGCGCTGGAAACACCTGGGGTCGAAATGCCCCCCTGCCGCGTCGTAGAGCGGGCGCCCCTGCAGGCCCATCTTGGCTAAGAAGCCGCCGTATCTTGTAGCGTCCGCCCGCTCATTGGCAGTGAGGGGGCGGACGCCGCTGGGCCGCCCGCAGGCCATGAACCACCGACCGAAAGACATGGCAGCGGGTTCCAGCGCTGAGTCGCGTTGCTTCTTGTCCAGAATGGCCTGGAAGCCCTCGGCGAGGCCTGGGAATTGCGCATGGATGTCGGGCGTCTGCGTCGTGAGGATATACCAAATGCGTTCCACTACTTAGCGTAGAGGTATCAGGTTCCACCGCGCATGGAACTTATCGTTGCAAAGCTGGGGAGGATCTCGTTAACAGTGTCTCCCCTGGAGCGCGTGGAGGTGGGAGGCACCCCTTGCCAGTGAAGCGCAGAGTGCCTCTCCCACCGGGGCGGGGCGAGCTCCCAGCGCGGTATCCCGCCGCCTTCGACCTGCTTGGCCAAAGTGCCGAACCACATCCTGGCGCGCGGGAGAGGCCCCCACCTATGAACGTCGAGGCATGCGAGCTGCTGATCGTCCTTGAGGCCGAGCCCTTGCAGCATGGACTGCTTGCGCTGGATTCGAACGGGGTCCACCATGTCGCAGATGTTGTGGACCTCAAGACCGGGCACTGGTTTTTTTGAGCGACCCAGCCTATGAGTGGGACGGCCCAGAACTGGCTGGATCCCCCCCTGCCCTAGAACGCATGTGCATCCCTGCATTTTCCTGCTACGGAGAGCTGCTGGCAGGTGCTGCCCGCCGCCAGCAGAAGGAGGGCCCCGCGCGGGAAAGACGCGAGGAAGCCGCTCAGCGAGATGTCGCCTGGGCCCGTCCTGCAGGGGTGAGGCGGGAGGTGATCCCATACGTCGGACGCGAATGGGCGACGGGAGGTCGGTGTGGTGGTCCGCCCAGCACTGAGCCACTCTGCCGGCGAGGACTACGCTCTGTCCGACGAAAGCGGATTGAGGCGGCGCAAAGGGAGGTACCGCTGCCAGGACAACCTACTAGCGCATCGTCTAGGGCGGGTCGGGCGAGCGTAGTACTGGCGAAGAGGTCGAGGAGGGCGAGGGGTCGGGCTGGGGTGCTGAAAAAGGCGAGTGAGTGTGAGGACGGTCGCCCCTTCGTCGAGATCGGCGCACAACGCCGGGTCCGGTGGCGCAAGGGAGCTCGGAACAGGATGTTGGGCACTTGGGCTGATCAGCAGGGCCCTGTGTTGGCGCCACTGGGCGGCAATATGCTGGCAAACCTCAACGGTGAGGATCCTCCTGGGGGCACCATAAGGCGTGAGCGTGGCTCGACCCCGCGCGGTGCTGTGCGTGCCAATGTCGTTGGCCCAATGGCGAAATTTCCGGTCTCTAATCATGAATATTTGGTCACTGGCTCATTGGTGCGGCTGCCTTCCCCTGGCTCGGGCGACGGGATGCTCCCCGTGTCGCCCCGCACGGCGCCCCTCACAGGGTGGCCGCGCGCGGGCCTTCCGTGCCTGGCGGGGCCCGCGCTGAGTAAGGCAGGGGCCGCATGGGCTGGCGCGGCCTCGTTGTGGTCGTCGGCGCGCGGCAGTCTGGCGTCAAGTACGATGGATGAACTGCGGCCGGGCTGGCACGAACCGCGGTCCAGTCTCTGCGCGGCGCGGCCGGGGGCACGGAGGCGGCGGGGGGCCCACCGGGTGGAGAAGGAATGCTGGGAGCACTGCCGTGCCCAGCGGCACCGACGGGACGGCCGGGCGCTGGGGGAGCCCCGCGCCGCCGCGGCAGCCCGCGGTCAGGACAGACCCTCGGCAGAGCGCGGGCGGCGCCGCGCGAGACGTCTGATGTCTGAGGGGAAGACTGCACTCCAATTGCGTTGGCTTCGCCTGACGCGTGCGGCTACGGTTGCGGCTACGGCTACGGTTCCGCACGCGCGGCGCCATCAAGGCGCGGCGGAAGGGGCGCCGAGACGCCTGATGTGCGAAACATTAGGGAACACGATATGGGGGCAGGAGGAGGAGGAGGAGGAGGAAGAGGAGGAGGAGAAGGAGGAAGAGGACGAGGAGGAGGAGAAGGAGGAGGGAGAGGAGGTGGGGGAGGGACGGCGGCAGTATCACTGCTGAAAATACGTGTCCTGGAAATCGCACCACGCAGGCGTGGTAGCGACACGGTACCAAATTCACGTGTCCACAGCAATCGATGACCAACTTACGTGAATCATCTGTCCATCGAATTTATCGTGACGCCCAGTCCGTTTTTGAAGTGATCCTTCTGGGTCGTTGTTAGGTAGCCACCACACGACGTTCCTTTGCCAATTCCTGGCTGGTCCACCAACAACCCCATTGAAATGTCCATATCCGTTGTTGTCCAATCCTCAATAATGAGCTCTTGCATCGGTCGAACATGCCTCGTAGTCGCACGTTTGATCCCATCGACCCGAGGCCCTAGAATCCCGCCTATATCTTCAATCCTATTGATTGTACCGCAGATCGGCGTCGTGCTCGCTGGAGTCGTTGCTGACGTCGTCTCTGACATCGTTCGTGGCAACGTCGGTGTCGCTCGTTGATTGTCCGATGTCGTTGTCGGCGAGTTGGTGGCAGCGCCGTTGTTCTCC